ACGTGGCTCTGATACCACGTGTTGGATAATAATTGAACCAATACACTCAAGAGTTAATTATACAACAAATGATTTTATTATAGAAATAAATTTTTTTACAAAAGAAAATCCTCACAATTCACAAGCAAACACTTTCTATTTGTAGTACAAACACTCTCACTCACTCTTTTTCTTTCTTTCTGATCACTCACACTTTTATTTTTTTTTATAAACACTCACACCACTCTTTCTTTTCTTTTTGTTTTTATCACAATGCTCACACACACCACCGATGACACACACATATATATAGCATGTGTAATATTAATTGTTTAACTACTAACTACTAACACCTAACTATTATCTAACAACTAATTTGATTAATTGAGTATTCTAGAAAATGGATTTTAACATTAGCTTCTAGAAAATTAAAAAAGAGCATTAATTATTTAATACATTGTTATTTAAAATCAATAATGTTTTATTGCGAAGATAGATCAACTTCTAGTGATTTGTAAAACTCTATTCTAATATTTGGTGTTTCGTAATCTTATATGTCAATTTCTAATGCTTTGGAGTAGTCATATGGACCAAGACTTTTTTATTAGGACTTTTAGAATTAACAAAAGACTTGACCATCATAAAGTATAAATGTATCTTAAAAGTTAATATTTTTTATTTGTTAGCAAATTTTAATATACATAATATATCAAATTAATCTTATGACATTCATATTGCCCATATATCCAAAGAAATTTTTATATCCACCATTATAAATAAAAAAATATTTTATCTTCAATCTTAATTTGAAGATAATATAACTCTAATTCTTCAATTAAATAAATATATACACCAAGCATATTATATAATATGAGTTAGAAAAATCATTATACTGTAGACGAGCGAGTCTTATAGGCGATGGAGTGTTTTAAGCATTATGTAAAAGTTAAAATTAAAACTAAAATTAATTTTCTTAATATGTTAACACCAGTGTATTACACAAGACACGAGAGTTAGTAATACTGCTACTCTATATGTGTGTGCGTGCGCATGTGTGTTTTATCGTTCATTTAGACAATATTTTTTTATGTTAAATAGAATTTATTCATGTATTTTGCATTATAAGCACATTTCATGATGCGGACGCTCTTGATGCAGTAACATGGAAGAAATTTGGGTTGAACATATCGAATAATATTCGAAACAATAATAATAAAAAAAAAAAAATCACCCTATATGTATGTCACCATAACATAGGCATTGTTGGACATAACTTTCATTAATTTATTTTTTCCACAGGAAAAAAAATACATTGACAAAATTTTAGCTCCCAACAGTTTTGATTGAAAATATTTGAAAATAAAATGCCTTCATTATCCTTGACTGGAAATTTTTCATGGCTGCATTTTTTCTTAAATTACAATTGTTTTTATTTGTGGTGGTCCCAATTTTTCTAGCATTATTGCATTATTGTTTTTTTGTATTCACTTTGTCTAAGCATCTTTAGTGACCATATCAGCTACCAAACAGAGGAGAAGACTAAAACATGAACATCTTGTGCTCGTCAATCCTTGGCTGCTATTGTAGTTTCTAATGGTGGGCTCATGACACAAAATTCTAAAGTTTTGGCTTGTCACACATCATTTGGTCGAAACTGGTCGAAACTTTAATTTGGAAAATGGGTAATACATTAACGAAAGAACGACTGCGATCAATTTACCTCGGATAACCTTTTGGTGAAGGCCCAGTAGAGAATGTAGAGTAATCCATGAGCAGTAAATAGGGTCATAGTCATGTGGCCAACCCAAATGTGGTACTTAATGCTGGCCTCAGATGTTAGCCCCAACATCGGCAAAATGGACGATACTCGTGTCACCGGGTAAAATAAAAATGTCAAGCACAAATTCCCGGCTAATCCTGTAGCTAAACCAGCTCTATCCACCTTCGTTTGCCACCTGCCTCGAAAAAACAATTAACATTTGAAATAGAAACATGAAAATACGTATGAACTTCAACACGTATGTATAAATCTTTTTTTTTTTCTCGATTTGTACTAAAAATGTTACGTTAATTTCTTACTACTCATCTCAGTTTGGAAGCAACTGAAAGGCTACACTAGGAATATCTTACATTTTTTCATGTCTGGTCACTGAGAGCTCGGGAGCTTGTTTAAAGAAACGGCGCAGGTAAACCGCGGTATACCAAGCACAAAGAGCAACGAACAAAGTGAATAGTGTGAGCTCCGTTATGGTGACAATACCGAGCCCCTTCACGACCATCGGCCTCTTCAACAACCTTAGCTTACTCTCCCGTTTCCAGCTGCTGCTATCAAAACATGCACTTAGGTATTAAACCAAAAACAAAGAAAATTGTGTATTTTATTTTATTTTATTTTATTTTTTTCTCAATTGCTATTAGGTGAGCCAAATAATTAATGTAAACAAACTCGAAATTCTATGAAGCCAGTTTTCTTATGGAACCATCCACCACACTTAATGTTATTGACACATGTACAAATTGTATTCATTGTGTCAATACACTATTAGTGAATGAATGTGGATCACTCCATAAGTCGAATCATCCGATGGCTCCGTAACAAAACTGTGTACAAACCTTGCTGTGGCAGTGGCACCACCAGTCATTCTCGTCTCCAAATGCAGATATAAACACCCCAAGACAGCAATGAACAAAATGGGAAATGTGAAATCAAGCATTGTTGAACCTGATAATTAAGACTCCAAGCATTAATTAATGAAGAAATATTTCTCAATTAATCACCAATAATAATAGTCCATTAGTGGGTCTTTCTTAAACACCAAAAATAATCAATAACTTTGTTTCAAGTAATGTATTCATGCTCTGTTTGGACAACCTAAATAGAATGGAACAAAATTAAGGATAAGAAGTGATTAAATTTACCTTGTATTCCAAAGAAAGTAGAGTTTGTATGAGCAAGAATGTGGATCAACCAGTGATTGTAATAAGTATCAGTTGGCATAATAATCCACATCATTGTATTACCAAGAAAAACAACAAGGGCCAGCAGCAAAATTGCTCCTCTGGCAATAGTGATGATTCCAGAGGAAGCCATTGTTGTGCTCCTTAAATTTTTTGAAGATAAAATATATTGTACTACTATCATCCTATGTGAAAAGCTTGTTTTATAGTGGAAGAAAATGGGCCTTGAGAAGGTGATGTGTTTGTGTGTACAAGCTACATACAATTATGTACACATCAGTGCGTGTACGCACATGACAAGCACACACCACACTTGCTTAAAGGGGTTGCTTGAATATAAGTCCTTTTTTTTCGTTGTACTAGGAAGATGTTACGCACATGTAATATTAATTTTTTTACTCAAAATTATTTTTATTATATATTTAATTTAATAGCACAATATAATTTTCTTTTCATTATTTAACAAAAAATTATGTATTTTATGATAAAATATAAATTTAATACTATTAACAGAACTCTATGACAAATAAAATTAAATAAAAAATATTGGTTAGAAAATCTAAAATAAAATTAATATTTTTTTTTTTTTTTGAAATTTGAAATGCTGAAGAAATCTATGTCGTCATTGATTTTGTTATTTAGTGATATCATCCTTATGCTATTAATATGGTGAAAATAATATCTTTTTTAATGTCTTCCTTTTGCGTCTTACTATTTGAATAATAACTTGAATATACTATAACTATAATTTGTAATTATCATTTGCTTATTGTTGATTGGAAGCTGACACTGTGGTTGAATGTTTCGTTCTCTATTATTTTGATTATAACGGTTGCAAATTCAATTATATTTACACGTGTAATATTTCGTAATATTATAGATATATATTTTCTCTTTGTATATAATGATATAAGAGATATAAATATTTGAAAATATCTTTAAAATTGTGAATATTTTAAAAACAATTACTTGAAATTAGGAACAATAACATCCTTGATTGATTAAAGGTTCCCATCTATCTATATATAATGTTGTAACATTGGTTAATTGAAGGTGCTTATCTATATATATTGTCCAAAATAAATTATTGCTACATCTCCTAACACTGTCATACATGCATTATCATTTTCGTTCATGGATTTTCAAGACTATCTAAAAAGTGAAAAAAAAATAATAATTCTATTTTAAATAAATTGTAAAATCATGATTCTTTCATATTTTACTTTTATCTAAACATTATTTTATATATTTGTCAATATTTTTACAAGGTTTATGTTTCCTAGTTTTAAGAAGTGATTTGAAAAATTAAATTTATCTATGATTTATAATAAGATAGTCTAATGAAATAAATTTAAAGTAAATGTAATATTTATTTTTATTTAATTAATTATAATTATTATAACTATATATTTTCTAACAAGTACACATATTTTGAAATTCAAGATTTTAAAATCGAGTATTACTTATTTTATTTTATTTTTATAATTACTATATTTTGATTTCTATTACAATTAAAGTAAATAGTAGATTAATTTATGTAACACATATTACCATAAAAGAACATTTATACTGTACATACTACTAACAGATAAAGTTAAATTGTATCATGCATATATTTTAATGTATAATTTAAACAAAGTATTTCTATTAAAACAATATATTTGCACTTAACTAATATTTTTTTCCATAAAGCATTGATATTTTATTATGTTGAATAACTATTTTTAATACTAAAAAAAATGAATGAAAAAAATAGCATACAAACATTTTAATACATTAATATTTACAAAATTAATTACAAAAATAACATACAAATATTTGGTAAATAATAAAAAACAATGAGAACCATAAGTTAATTGAATAATATATTTATAATAAAATAATACAATAAGAATAAAAAAGATTAATATATTATGACGTTGGAAAAAAACCAGTTAAATAGATAAATGTTTGGTTTCAATAAAAGGTTAGTTCAATTGATTATTTATTTATTTTTTAATTTTTTTATTGACTTTGCATTACAAGTATTTTTAATATTTGTACAGAAAAAAATCTTACTTTTGTAGTTGTGCCAATACAATCATTTAAAAATTTGGATACCGGTCAATTCTTTTTTCAGTAGATTAATATCATAAAAAATTATTAATTATAATATACACAAGGAATACTATAATAAAAAATTGAGTACTATGTCATGACATTCACGATTAAAACATCAAAATATAATTTAAAACATTTTATTTGAAATTATTTGAAATAATTTTATATTAAGTCATGTGTTTTAATATTTCAGTTATTCTAATTAAAACTTAAATTATTATTTGACAATTTTGATTGTTTATATTACAAGTAGTAAATGTATTTGGAATAAGACATAATATAAATTTTTGGAAGTAACATAATATAATACTTTTAGAAGTAACATTATCTTTTATTGGGGGTAGTAGTGACATTTCAGATTTTATTTCAATGTGGTTGGATGAGATATTAATGAAGTTATATTATTACATTTATGTCCTTAAATGGTAAAACTTTATGAGATATTAATGAAGTTATATTATTGGAAAATGCTACCATCCCGTTACGGTACTATCCCGTCGGATGTTTTAACCGTTGGATCATCGATCTTATCTAACTACACGTAGATCGAACGGTTAAAACAACCGACGGGATGGTACCGTAACGGGATGGTAGCATTTCCCTATATTAATACATTTATGTCCTTAAATGATAAAACTTTAGAGGGTAATATGGGTATTTCAAAATTTTCAAGAAATAACTCATCCTTTTAAGAGAGTTATAGATTATAGATTATAGATAGATTATAGATTATTGATATAGATTTTTTGGTTAATCAAAGTTAATTTTGTAAAGTTAGTTGAGTTAAATTTGATTAGATTTGAGTGAGATTTGAATTTCGTATTTAAATAATATTTAAAATTTTAAATGCATTTGAAACTCTGAAGTCAGATATCACTCTAGACATGTCAACGGGCCGAACCGGCCCGTTAACTGGTCCTGGCCCGGCCCGAACCAGCCGCCTTAGGCCGGTTTGTTGAACCGGACCCTTAGGGTTGCGGATCGGGCCGGTTCAGGTTGCGGGTCGAACGACGGGTCATAGTGTTAATTTTTTTTTCTTTTAGGTGTATGGATTTATTATAATTTGAGATAAGGGCCGTACCGGCCCGTGACCCGCCGTGAACCGGCCCATAGTTTATTTTGGGCCGGTCACGGGTCATGATATTGAGGCCCGTCGCGTCGTGGCCCGGCATTTGGCCACCTCTACACTCGGTACATAAAACCTGCCTTACTCTGCATTTGGCCAGCTTCTGTTTCGACAAAGCTGTGAGGTTTGTTAATAGTGTGATTGAGGACGAACAAGGCTTTGGTGTCCAGACACTCTTAGAGCTGTACTCGGTAGAGTCGGATTATACACCCTGACACCCATAATAATATCCCAATTTTGGGGCCTAAGTGAATGGGGTGTTCTATTGGTTTGCATATGAATTGTTCAGTTCAAACTACAGTAAATAAAATTTATTGGTTAACTAAGATTAATATGTTGCACATGCACAAGTCTCGCCTGATGAGATTCGTCATGTCATAATTTTTACAACAGAAGATTTGTATACAGCTTGTAGATGAAAAGCTTTAAGCAAGAAAAGTACAATACAAAAGGAAAAACACCAGTTACACACTCGGCACTTAAACTGAACCACACAACACCCGAGCGATGATGACATGATCGACTCAATGAGCCGACATATATATTTCCAGTTCGTCAGCAAATTTGATACATCTGATGATCACCAACTGAAGCTGATGGACTCAAAATGCAGATTGGCGGCCAAGCCAGATGAACATATTTTCGCAACTTCATGCCTCAGACTCCGAGGCCCACAAACGAGAACCCCAACACTCGATTCCTTCCGTTCGAATAGAATCCCTGAAGCAAACAACATTCGAGTGTCGTTAATAGCTAATAATTAATATGTTCATACTCCATTATATTATTGAAATGCAAAAAAAAAAAGAACCTTATGTGATCATATTCATAATCCCTCATATTTATTCAACAGAAAAGTTTTTCAACAACTTACTTTTGATATCCGGCTTTTCTCCATAATGCATGTTAACGGTTTGTGAAAACGCCTGTTGAGGCAAGCTTTCCAATTCTCTATCTGTATTATAACAAAACCACGAATTAGGAGTCCCCGCAGGACTCATCCCCCCTTCCATGCTCTGTATCTGCTTAACTTCCCTTCCATTGTTGCCCTTGTTCCAGAGAAAAGCCACGGTCGAAGTCATAACAATGCCGATGCATATGAACAACATATGAAGCACGGCTCTAGACGACCAAGAATATATCTTGTTCGTGTTGTGGTCGATTGGGTATATATAGTAACGTGTCAAAATGCCAATAAAAAGTAGGTAGATTACGAAAGAGGACGATATTATCGCCCCAAGCCACAGATAGCTGTTTTGACCTAAAACTGGGGCTAAGGGCAAGTCGGACTTGTTGGGCTTGAACCAAAGCGTGCGAATGGTGTTTTTGGTTGCTTCTTGTGTTTTCTCCCTTGTCACGTAAGCTTCGATTTGTAAGTCTAGGGTTGAGGGGATTGGTGTGGGGCCGGAGATTGGAAGGATTAGGTCTAGAAAGCTTAGGTCAGTAGAGTTCTTGAACGCGGTTATTAGAAGGATTTTTTGAGTTTTGTGCTTTAAAGTCGAGTTTGTGTGGATGAGCTCTCGGACGATGGAGATGAATGGAGTTATGCCGCTACCTCCGCTTATTAACACTACTAGCTCGTGCCTGTAAAATAAAGGGGATGTGTTTTTAGAGGTTGTTTTTTCATAGCTATCCTTAAATATCTTATAACTCATTTTTTTTTTAAAAAAAATTTTGTATGTGCACTAAACTTTTGTGTAGTTGTGTTATGGTTTGTTGGTACCTAAGAAAATCAGTTGAGGGAGGGCCGTAAGGCCCTTCCAGCGAAACTTCCAGACGATCGATGGAAGAAGGTGAAGCAAGCAGTTGATAGAGCTTATTGGACCATGACCCTTCCCCTTTGATAACTACACTCAACTTGTCACACTCCAAATTACTGCTGGAACTAATGGTAAAAGGGTGCCACTGCAGCTTCGAAATGCTTGGCACATTCATGAACATGATGCTAGTTGGAGTATAACTCAAACCTGACAAATGTAAGAAAACAAACAAATAAGTAAGTAATTGATTTTGCTTGTGCAGTTGTGTGTGACCGGTTTTATCGTGGTTTTAGTTTACCAACCTTTGGCTTTGGAGAAGTTGAGCTCGACCGTCTGACAAGGAAGGAGTCGGGCAGACAGAAGACGGACCCTTTGTCTCGACTGGAGGAATCTGAGGTATCGGTCGATCATGAAGAGGAAGAAGCCGGGGAGCATGATGCACGTGTAGCTTACGCCCACGTGGAGCACAAAGAAGAAGACAAATAGGATGTATAGGTGATGAGCGTAGAAGAACAGCTCAAACATCTTTCTCCTTATCCTTGGGAATGTTGTAGCCCACAGGACTAATCCTGCCAGCAGGGATAACTCTCCGGCCACGTTGGATATCCCTGTGTTCTCCCATTTCAACATCTGTAGGAAAATAAAACATATTAATATGCCTAGTTGATGTCCACAGTTACCATTTGATCAAATTAGTTTAAACAATTAAAGAACAATAAAAAAGAAAAAAAAGGTACCTCTGATAATTTATGAGTGGCAGCCCAATACACAATGTAAGCTAGGCCATGGGCAGTGAAAAGGGCCATGACAATGTGGCCCAGCCATATATGATATTTGACACTGCCCTCTGATGTTAGCCCCAAAAGTGGCAGCACCGATGAGCCACGTGTCACCGGGAAGAAGAGAAATGACAGTGCTATATTTCCGACCAGCCCCAGGCGGAGCGCCACCGTATCCAGCCTCGCTTCCCACCTGCCATGCACCACCAACAATTACATACATTCTCTCAATTCCAATTTACGTTTCGCAGAATTATAAAGGGAAAAATCTAATTTTTGTCCTCTAAGTTGGTCATTGTTCAATTTTAGTACACCTAACTTTCCCCTCATAAAAAATAGTCCACTATGTTACAATTTTCGTCAATTTTTAGTACAGTAATCCCCCTCTAAAAGTTGTATACTTAATGTAATAATTGGTTAAATATATTTATATATAGTTCTTACACTTTTTCTCCATTTTTTGCAGCGGACTTGGGCGTAATCTTGGCAAAACTAATGCTCAAATAGGTACCGAAGTTCCAAAGAAGAAGAGCTATGAACATGAGGAGAAAAGCAAGCTCTATTCGAGTGACTATTCCCAGCCCTTTGATCGTCGCTGGCCTTCTCCACAGACTCAACCGACGCCCTCCATTTGTGCTGTGTAATTCGATCACCCCAAAATAAAATTAAGTTCACAAAAATTTAAAAAGTAGAGCAAATATATAACTATCAGTAAATCATGTGGAAATTGTGTATATCCATAGCTCTTATAACAAAAATCTATCATGGGAACATTTTATAAATCAACTAGTCTAGGTTATTTTTAAATTATGAGCTAGTGTACATGTAAAAGTTACGTCCAAGATGTGTGAGTCCATTAAGTGTGTTGATCCGTCATACATTTTTTTTTAACAAAAATTCATACGTATACTTGAATGTCATACATTTATTTATATCGATGTATTTATATAAAATATTTGGCCTTTATTTGAAATAGTATGCGTAATTTTTCACTAAACACTTGCACCCACTAAAAATGAAAATACTATTGATCTTTTGTTTCCTTCTTAGCATTGCATATTTTATTGAAAATAATTTTACTTTAAAATCATAAGAAAATTATTATTTTTTTTAATAATCATTAGTGATTATTGCAAAATTGAAGAATTATAAATAAATATTTAATAATATATAAAACAATAATTATTATTTTATAAGGTGTACACACACACACACACACACACACACACACACACACACACATATATATATATATATAATATAATTTATTTAAAGCACTTCCGTCGTTATAAAACTATCCTTTTATAATATTTAATAACTTATGAATAATATAACAAATACATTATTTGCTATTCAAAATATTTTTCCTATGTAGTAACTATGTTGGTATCACGCTATTGTGTCAATTGCATAATCATTTTTTTTACAAAAATATTATGTCTATTATTTTATAAATATAATGAAAATAAGAAATGATTAGTTTATCTTTATATTTAATTTATAATCTTAATATATTGTCATTTGTTTTAAACATTTACAACATGAATCATAAAATATTTTTTATTTAACTAAATAAATTTAAGAAAAATAAGAAAATTTCATTAAATCAATCGCCACAATGATTGAATTAGTTTTAATTCATATTTATTAAAAAAAAAATGACACAACTGGAATTGGTCAAAGGAGATTAAGTTATGGGTCAATTTAGCCAAACAAAAATCGATTATTGAAACTAAACATAATTTTAATATTATAAATTGCAATCATTTAAATGTTGTTCAAATTAACTCCAAATTATCATATTAAGAATACTTTTATAATGAAATATTCAATAATTTATAAATATTTATATATAATTTTATTAATATTTATGTAAAAAGTTAATAACAGTAGTGCCCCGAAATGGGGCCGAAGGGCCGGTTATTGTATTACAATTTTTATGGTAAATCAAGGTTCTCAGAAACGGACAGTCATCGAACCGATCAAGTTATTTATACAATGATTAATAGTTGGTTCAGACTTTAATTATAGATATTTTTATATATCCAGCACTTACAATAGACTTATATAAAAATATTAATTAAATATCCGAACAATTTTAAATTTTTGTATAAATTTTTAAACTAATTCGTAAATAATTTATTAATCTCTATTTTATTTAAATATATATTTTTATTTACATTAAAAATAATTTTAAATGCATAAAATTTATTTAAAAATATTGTACCGATCCTACAAGTCCGACCGATGATAACTAATGATTGGTTTGCTAGCGAACATTTTTTCATGCGAATCTGATCGCTCGATAAAGCGCTTATCGGACCATCCAATCAGACTATCTAGTCAGGTCCGGTCTGATGTTGAAAACAATGAGTATATCATGACTAATGTTATTTATTTATTTAAGCGTACAGCAGAATTGTGATGATTTCTCGTGTATCGCACGGGCTATGTACTAATTAATGTACTAATTAGTTTAAGAACACGATAATTTAGTTCCAAATTATTTAAAAAATATGACTGCATAATAATTAAATTAGTCTAACAACAACCTTATACTAAAATATAGTAAAAGATAAAAGATTGCATACCGTTCAACGTGGCTATTTGTTGAATTTTTTCCTAAATGGAGATACACACAGCCCAAGACTGCAATAAATAGGACTGGGAAGCTGAATATAAGATAAGTTGCACCTACAAACACACATATTGAGTCGATATATATGAGTAATTAATACTCTGTTATAAAGATAATTTGATTATAGTATTTAGCTTTTATTTTATTTTTTTTCTTATCTATATATGCCACCTCTTTTTTTTTTTTTTCTTGTGAAGCGGTGATAAATATACTACGTACAATATATATCACTAGAAAAATTTACAACCTCCAATACATTGATATACATCTTTAATTTGCGTTAATTACCTTTTAATTTAACTTAATTGATTAAATAAAAATTTTAATTATAAGTTCATATTCATATGACTAAAATATTTGGCAGATAATAAAGATACAAGAATGTGATATTGATAAATATTGAAGTTGTTTGATGTAACAAGAAGATATAATAATTTTTCCAAACCTTGGGTGGTTCCGAAGTAAGTGGAGACAGTTTGTGCTCTGAGCTCCGGCAACCAAGTTTTTCGATAGGCGTTTGTCGGCATCATCACCCACAATAATAGGTATCCGGCGAACACCGCCACCACTGCCGCCATTATTGCCGCCCGGATTGCGTTGTTGCCGCCACCGGAAGGTGGTGGATGTGGTGAAGGTGTATGTGAATCCATATATATATATATATATGTGTGTGTGTGTGTTTGTGCTATAATTTCTAATGATTTTT